CAGAGCTATGTGGTGAGGTCTGAGCCTGGTGTCCTCAGACAGCAGTGAAGAAACCAGACCTTCAGCATGGAAAGGTTCACACTTGGTGACCTTAGCAGGGGGACAGGGAGAGGAGAGACAGAGCCAGTGGCCAGGTGCACGGGCAGGCTGGGTGTGAAGCCTCTTCTTCAAGAGTCTCTTCACTGCTCTATAGTCACTGCTAAAGGGAGGCAGTAATGCACTGATGCCATCCATCACCTTTGTTGAGAAGATTCACTGAGCCCATGGCTTACTGTGCATGGAATGGCCAGCATGGTGAAGCAGCTGCTAAATGCTTGTGCTTTCGGTAAATGTTTCCCCCAACCTCTGTGTCACACTGTTCTAGATGGAGCAGTGAGCAACACATAAAAAGTTCCCCCTTCTTATTTGGGGATTACATCATAGTAAGGAAAGCAGAGAGCAAATGCAGATTTGTAATATTCAGGCAGTGAGAAGTTCATGGAAGAAAATTAAGGCAAGAGGGAGAGCCAATATTGAGGTGCAGACGGGAGCTAATTAATAAAGGGTGGTCTATAAAGCCTCTCTCATAATGGAACATTTAAGCAAAGACCACAAGAAGGCATTAATAAGTAACCATGAGTATATATGTAAAATGTTTGTACGTTTCTATGTGGGTATACTTATGTATCAATGTACTTGCACTATAGCAATAACTAAAATAAGAAAATAGAAAGGTCTTACATTGTCCTGAAATATGTGTGTATATATATATATATATATTTAAATTTTTATTTATTTATTTATTTATTTATTTTGAGACCGGGTCTTGCTAAGTAGATCAGGCTATCCTTGCACTCACTGTATAGCTCAGGCTGGCCTCAAACTTATGGCAGTCTTCCTGCTTCAGCCTCCCAAGCGCTGGGATTATAGGTACATGCCAGCACACCCAGCTCTACAACATAATAGTTCTCATGTTTATTTCTAGTGTTTCCTTCTCCTCTAGAATGTAAGTTTTTCCAAAGCAAGAATGTCATCACTGATGTATCCCCAGTGTCTAGTACAGAGCCTGGTACAGAGTAAGTGGTCAATAATTATTAGATGAATGAATAAAAATATGGATAATATTGTTATACTTTAAAAGGCCTGAACTGCACAGTGAGACCCTGTCTCAAAAAGACAGGAAAGAAAGAAAGAAAGAAAGAAAGAAAGAAAGAAAGAAAGAAAGAAAGAAAGAAAAGGAGGAAAAGAAAGAAAAGAAAAGAAAGCCCAAGGAGAGACTAGAATAGTGAAAGTTTCAGAAGAAACCCGGTAGCTGCATTGGAGTTAAGGCCACTGCTGTTGTCAGGAACCATGCTGGGATGCTTTTTTCTAAGCAGGCTCTCCCTGTTCAATCAACAGAGGGCTTAATCTCCAATGCAACAGTGTTTATAGGTGGGGACTAGTGAGGTGACTAGCTCACAAGGGTGATGCCTTATCAACAGATTAGCCCATTGATAAGTTCATAGCTGAATAGGCTATCAGGAGGAAGAGAGTCACTGGAGGGGTGCCTTTGAGGGGAGCGTCTTCCTCCCCGGCCCCTTCCTCTCTCTGTGGCTCCCCACACTCTCTGCTTCCTGACCACCATAGGGTGAATAACTATCCTCTGTCACGCCCTTCTACCACTTTTCTGCTTCACCACAGGCTCAAAGTAATAGAGCCAAGGGACCACAGACTGACACCTCTGAAACCATAAACCAGAACAAACCTTTACCTTGATGTTCTCAGGTATTTTGGTCACAATGAGGCAAAGCTGACTAATACAAACACTACTCTAAAAAGTTACTGTAGGTGGCTGGGGATTTAGCTCAGTGGCACAGCGCCTGCCTGGCAAGCACGAGATTGTGAGTTCGATTCCCAGTACCGGAACCGCCTGCCCCCCCACCCCCCCGCAAAAAAAAGTTACTGTAGGTATTAAATAAAAAAGATCTTGACACCCAGTGGACACCAAACAAATGTTAGGTCCTGTCTTTTTGAGACAGGGTCTCGCTGTGCAGTTCAGGCCGGCCGTGAGCTCACTTTGTAGCCTAGGCTGGTCTCGAACTCGAAATGATCCTTCTTCCTCAGCCTCCGGAGTGCCGGGATTACAGGCGTGCGCCAGGACGCCGGGCCTCTCCTTGGAGTTTAAACCTAGAAAAAATTTACATAAGGCCACCGTTGTTGTCTGAGGTTAACAGCTTTATCCATTGCCACAACTGCTTATCAAATTGTCCCCAGAGAAACAGAGACACCTGATGGAAACGCGAATGCATTTTGTGGTTGGAGTTGGTGGTTTATTGCACTAATTTTAAACATCAACTTTACTGAGGCATAATTTACGTCCAATACGCATTTTGAGTGCGCTGCTTAATGAGTTTTGACAAACGTACAGGTGATCTGACTCAGAGCGGAGAGAATTAAGGTCACCAGGGAATATGCAGATCAAGAGATTGAACAGGGAGAGCCTGCGTAGAAAACAGCATCCCAGCAGGGTTCTTGAGAAGCATAACAAAAAGCAGCAAGTAGCAACACCAAGGGCGGCTGCTCACTGCCCCTGGGTCTGCACCCCTGGAAGCCCCTGTCACTTACAGGCGCCGCACGGGCGGCATGAGGGGCGGCGAGCCAGGGGCCCTGTCGCCACCGCCCGCGGTCAGGCCGGCTGCTCCGGCCTCGGTGGACGCTGGCTTTCCCGCAGCCGGCAGGTCTGCCGTTCCCGGGCCCCTGGGTCCTGGGCTCAGCCCGCCTGCCTGCCAACCAGGCTCCTCCCCGCCCTCTGTGGCTGAAGCTCCTGGGGCTGAGGGTTCAGCTTTCGCTTAGAGACGGCAGCGTTGAGTGCAAAGGTGGCTGGGGAAACTGAGGCAGGGCTGGGGCTTCTGGGAGAGGGGTCGGACGCTGGCCGCAGACTCCGTCTCCCCTGACCTTTGCAGCTCTTCCAAAAGCCAAGTGAGGCCCAGTGCTGGAAGAGAAGCCGGGGGTCCTCAGGGACGCGAGCCAGGCCCCGCCCGCGGGTGGGGGCGGGACTGAGGCGGGGCAGGGCGGGCGGGGCAGAGGCCAGTGCTGCAGGTGCTGCCCTCGGTGCCCGGAGGAGCCGGTGCTGCGGGTGCTGCCCTCGGTGCCCGGAGGAGCCGGTGCTGCCCGCGCCATGGAGCGACCCTCGGACCCCCTGCGCGGGGTGCTGCGGTTCTGCTTCGCCCCCGCTCCCCGGACCAGCCTGCTCCTGCTCCGGCTGGACGCCGCCGCGCTGCGGGCGCTGCAGGAGGGTCGGCGGGAACAGGTGCGGCGCCGCGACCCCACCTCGGCGGGAGAGGGACCTGGGAGGCTCGCGCCGCGTGCACCCGGGCACCCGCTTAGCACGCCGCTCTCTCCCGCAGGTCCGGCCGGTGATCGCCTTCCAGGGCCCCCGAGGCGTGAGTGGCGGTCGGGGTACCGGCTGGGGAAGGGGCGGGCGGGCCGGGCAGAGCCGGTTCCCGGAGCGGAAAGGAGCGGGCGAGGCGGGCGGCCCGGGGGGCTGCGGGGGAGGGGCCGCGCGGGGCCCGGGGACTCCGCCGGCTGCACCTGGCGCCGACGAGCCCCGGGGGAGTCCCTCCGGGAGGGCGGGCTGACTCCGCGGCGTCCTTCTCCTTCCACCCTAGTACCTGAGGCTCGCGGGCCCCGGCTGGTCCTGCCTCTTCTCCTTCGTAGTGTCCCAGTGTGGCCGGGAGGGGGCTGGCGGAGAGTTGGACCTCGTGTGCCAGCGCGGGGACAGGTAAGGGCCAGGCAGCAGGGAAGACAGGGTTGGTGCAAAAGTGGGGAAGGAGACTGTGAAGAAGCGCTGAAAAGCTCTCCAGCCTCCTGGGTTTTCCGCTTTCTTCCAGATCCGGGGCTGAGCGGCTGCACTGCCTGGGCCCACTCCGGGAGCGCCTCACTATTTGGGCGGCTATGGATTCCATCCCAGCCCCTTCCTCAGTCCAGGGACACAACGTGACTGAGGAAGCCCGGGATCGCGAGGCTTGGCGAAACCCGGGAGGTTATTCTGATGCAGATGCGCTGGTGTCACAGCCACGGGCTGCGCTGGAACAGGTGAGGCCAGAGACTGCAGCGAGTCGGTAAGGCGGGGCAAAGCCTGAAGTTCAGGGAGCCAAGTGCTCCTGCCACTTTTCCTGCCAGGTGTCAGATCCACGGGCAAGCAGCCAAGAACAGTCACTCCCAGGACCCTTGAGGGAGCAGCCGGCAGAGTGGGAAATGAGGTACTGGGGACAAGGCAGGGCTAACCTGGGAAGCCCCGATCTAATCTCCACCTCTTAAGGGCTGTGAATGATCTGGGTAGGGCCTGCTTCCTACCCTGATCTCCATCTCCGCCATTCCTTTTTCAAACATCCCAGGAAGCAGAACCATCTCCCAAACAGAGAGCCTGACCAGGCCCTGCCTTCCTCTGCCGGCCAGAAGCGTCTGGAGAAGGTCAGCAGTAGTGCAGAGGGTTTTTAGAGAGCACAGTCAGGCTGAGATTTGGGAGCTGATTATGTACACAGCAGGCAGTTCTGAGAGGACAGATAGGAAGCCCCTGGCTTGCTATTTATCTCACATAGATATTTTCTTCAACAGAAACGTCCAGCACCAGAAGACACTGAAAAACTAGAAGAAAAGAGGCTCAGAGTTCTGTCTCCAGCTGCAAGCCCCCTGCAAGGGCTGTCCAGTCGGGACTTACAGGACGGCTGGGAGCAAGAAGATAAAGACGAAGTCCTAGGCCCCAGGCTGGAGCACAGTCCCTCAGCTCAAGCAGGTGAGTTAATGAGAGGAGGCTAAAGATGCCTCTGAGGAAAAAAGAACTATAATCACGTATGTTTTGGTTCCTTCTAGGCTCTGAGTCCCCAAGCCCCGCAGAGGTGCCAGATTACCTCCTGTGAGTTCCCTGCATTTCCAATGTCATCAAACCTTGCACATTCACATTTACAGGAGGCCTGGAGCTTTGGGGACAATGAAACTGAAGGTTGCAACTCCCCTTTGCAGGAAATACAGGACCATCCAGAGTACAGAGCAGCAGCGGGCCTACGAACAAGACTTCGAGGCGGATTATGCCGAGTACCGCATCCTCCATGCCCGGGTTGGCGCTGCCAGCCAAAGGTTCATAGAGCTGGGAGCAGAGATCAAGAGAGCTCAGCCAGGAACTCCGGAACACAAGGTAGGGCTGGACCCAGGCTGTCGGCCTCCTTGGCCATTATCCTCCTGCTGACTACCCAGAAGTGACAAGCAAACCTGTTCTGGCAGAAAAATGAGAATCATTAGGTAGAGTGAGAAGGGGGTTACTCCTCTCATTTCTCAATGTTGAACTGAATGTACTTATTTTTTGTTTCAGGCGCTGGAAGCTAAGATAGTCCAGGAGTATAAAAAGTTCAGAAAGGTAAGATAGGTTCTGAGAATGGAAACAAGAAGGTAGAAATCTAGTGTTTGCTTTTTGATATGAATGCTTTTTCTTTTTCCCCTGCAGCGGTACCCAGGTTACAAGGAAGAAAAGCACCGCTGTGAGTACCTGCATCAGAAATTGTCCCACATAAAAGGTCTCATCCTGGAGTCTGAGGGAAAGAACTGGGGCAGCTGAGGCTGTCAAGGCCTCTTGACCCGCTGTTCAGTGAGATAGAAACAAAGCAGCTATAAAACCAGAGTGCACCTATCTGCTGTTCTTATGCTGACCCCTTGAGTCCACGGAGGCAGGCAGAGAGCTGCCCTAGGTTCTTGACGTGTGATACTGTTGCTGTATTTTCATTTTTTAGTGTGGGCACAGTGCCAGGGCTCCTCAGCTGTGCCCAGGAGATGAGGGATTATAGCAGACTTGGCTTTTTCACCATTAGTTCAGCCAGGTCATTTTTAAATTCTGGGAAATGACATCATTTCTAGGACAGGATACCTTGAGGATATCAGATGAACTAAGTGAATTTAGCCTAGTATCCTCCAAAGGCGAACAAAAAAAAGGGAACCTTTGTTAAATCAAAAGGAACTTGTAGGGGGCTGGGAATTTAGCTCAGTGGCAAAGCGCCTGCCTTGCAAGTGCAAGGTCGTGAGTTTGATTCCTGGTACCGGAAGAAAAACAAAAACAAAACACAAACAAAAGGAACTTGTAGGGGCTGGGGATTTAGCTCAGCAGCACAGCGCCTGCTTGCTAAGCGCAAGGTTGTGAGCTCGGTTCCCGGTACCGGACCCCCCCCCCCCCCCCCCCCCCCCCGCCAAAAAGAAGGAACTTGTAGCCTAGTGTGGTGGTGCACACCTATAATCCCAGCGCTTGGGAGGCTGAGGCAGGAGGATCACTTCGAGTTCGAGGCCAGCCTAGGCTACTTAGTGAGTTCAAGGCAAGCCTGCACTACAAAGTGAGACCGTCTCAAACTGCACCCCCCAAAAAAACCCCACAAACCTGTAGCATAGCTGGATACAATGGGAAAGGGCTCTGGTGTTATGTACTGTACTAAAAAGTAGATTCTTTTACAAACATAGCAAAATAAAACTGCTTTTGTATCTTTTGTACAAGTTTATTTTCCTTAAATCCTCCAAGGCTTTGGTTCTTAACCCTAGTGGCTGTACATGTGAACTATTTCTGGAGCTCTGGAAAAAATTAGATCTCCAGACTCCAGCTGGATGTCATGAATTAGTCTTCAAAATTATGGTATATACTTTTTTTTTTTTTTTTTGCATAGTACTGAGGATGAGATGCAAGGCCTCATGAATGCTAGGCAAGGGGTCTAAAGGGGTCTGACAGCTGTATTCCCAGCCCCAACATCTTTGTTTTTTTGGACATTCTTAGTATGCAGTCTAGGATGGCCTTAAGTTTGCAGTCCTGCCTCAGTGCCGCCATGCCTGGTTTACCTTACTTTTTTAAGCCATTAGTGGTGATTCTGATGTTTTATTTTTAGTTATTTAATGTAGTACTGTGCATTTTACCCAGGGCTTTTTCACTGAGCTACATGCCCTGCTTTTTGAGAGGATCTTGCAAAATTGCCAGGCTGTGTTCAAACTTGTAATCCTCTTGCCTCAGACTCCCAGGGTGCTGGGGTTACAGGTGTGTTCCACGATGCCTTGCTCCAGGCCATTTTATAATTGATGACTAGAGATTATAGTAGGAAGTAAGTTCTTTCCTGACCCTAAAGGTTTATAGAATTACATGAAATTAGGACTAACTGGAATTACTCAGTGGCTAAAACCGATAGACAGGACTTGGATTTAACCATGAAGAGGAAATGGTTTAGTTCATTTGGATAAAGGGGGATCATTCCAGTCTTATCTTTGTTCTTCACTGTTGAAGAAGTAGATGCTTCACTCAACCACACCCTAGGCTTTGGGGAGAGAGGGCTGCACCCAACCTGTCAGCAATTCCTCAAACAACTTGAATGAACCCCAAACTGATGCCACACCCATGCGGGGCATTTCTGGGCAGAGCAGTCCTTTGGAGGTGCAAATATGCAGAAGGCTTAGCTGTATGGCAAGGGTAAGCAACTTATCCTCAGGGTCTGGGTAGGGCCAGAAACAGCCCCAAAGGCCTGGCCCTTCACGTGCTCTAACCACTAGCCTAGAAGCCTGGGCAATACATGTGTAAGGATACAAAGGGATGGGAAATTCAGGATTGAGAGGTAATACAGGTCTGGACTCTGTCACTCTGTATCTTTAGCTATAAAACAGTATGGTAACTACTATGGGACCTCCCCTCCCTTTTTTTGTAGTACTGGGGTCAGCCCCAGGGCCTTTGAACAAAACTACATCCCCAGCCATGCACTATTTTTTTGAGACAGGGTCTTGTTAAGGCCCTAAGTTGCCCTGGCTGGGATCTAACTTGCAGTCCTCTTGCCTCAGCCTCCCAGAGTGCTGAACTAGGTGGTTTTTTCAATACAAATTAAAAGGCAGTCCCTAGCCATATTTTATTATTATTATTATTTTTGGTTATTTGAGATAAGGTCTCATTATATAGTGAATGGCCTTGAATTCACTTTGTAGCCCAGGCTGGCCTCAAACTCAGTGACCCTCCTGCCTCAGCCTCCTGAATGCTCGGACTACAGGCATGCGCTACCATGCCTGGCTTTCAAGCCATATTTAAATGCTCCACAGCTATATGTATCTAATGCAGATTACTGACATTTCCATCACTGCAGCTACTGGATGGTGACGGTTTGAAGACTTTGCTTTTCTATCCCATGGAAAAGACAGTTTAAAGGGGGCTCATTTATTGTCACTGTTCCAAATGTACAAAAAAAAAATTAGAAAATAACCCCCCAACTCAGTTCCCCCCACCCCCACAACACAAATAATTTTCCCAAAACCACAAACATAAACTGGTCCTGGTAACAGTGCAGCTAAGAAACAGTTTTGAGAAAATTTAACAGGATTCAGATTATATCCATTCTGTCCTCTTGGCTGAGAGGTAATAATCCCACATGGGTCCCAGTCTTCCCCACTGTTTTTTCCATCTCTGGTAGAAGAGTCCTTTGACAAAGTGGTATGTTTGGCTGTTGCTTTAGAGATCCTCTTGTGCTTTCTTCTTCTTCTTGGGTTTTTCTTCTTGAATTATGGGGGGGTTTGTAGCTTCTCGTTGTAGATAGCTAATAAAATCACTTAATTCACGGCCACCCTAGAAACAAACCAACCAAAAAAATGACTGAAGATTTTTTTTCTGGTGTGCTGTGGATTGAACTCAGAACCTCATGCATACGGGGCAGGTGCTCCACCCCTGAGCTACATCCCCTGTCCTTTTTGAGTCAGGACCTTGCTAAGTTCTCCAGGCTGGCCTTAAGCCTGCAGCTTCCTGCCACAGCCTCTCCATTAACTTGGATCACAGCATGTACTATGTCCTCTAACTGGAAAATTTAACTTTTTAAATAACCCTGGACTTTCTGTAAATGCAATTCATAACCAACGTATCTACCATTTAAACAGACCCAACTCAAGAACTGTGTGTGTGTTATTTGTGGGGTAATGGGCTAATACACTTACTTCATATTTCTTTGGACTTTGCTTCTTATTGGCTGGAGAGAAATAGATGGTAGGAAAACTGGGAAAAGAAAAAAAGAAGGGTTTATTCATTTCAGCTTCCACAGTAGCTCTGACATACAGTTCCCCAGTATGTGTTTCTAGGAATTCTCTACATTATGGCTTCCAATGAGATCAGATACCATTCTCCATCAACAACTACAATATTCCAACAAAACCCAGAATTCTGAGAGCTCACAAAACTCACAGTAGGGTCACTGCAGAATGGCTAAGAAGGATAGGTGATTTTGTCCTCAATTTCAATATGCAGATCCCCAAAACCACGTCTAATAAAGAAACGGTGGCTGACAATGAGCGGTCTCCACTGTCAGTCAGACAGCTCACTAATTATGAGCATTTCTTGTCTACTTACCCTCTAACTTCATATGGAGAAGGCACATCATTGGCTGTGGCATCCATTTTGGCTATGACAATATTAGGGTCTTTGCTGAGCTGTTAAGATAGAAAGGTGAGGCCTTTATTTGTTTTGCAATGCTGTAGACCAAACCAGGGTCTTGGTCATGCTGGGCAGGAGCTCTACCACTGAGCTACACCCTGAGCCCAGCAAAGGTCAGACCTTTAAATTCCAAGTTTTCAGCAACTGAGGTATACTTCGTCAATTCAGGACTTCAACCTGTTGACCTTCCAGCTTTCTGCTCTACTGGCTTTTATATATGAAGACTACATACAGCCATGTTCACGTTTACCTGGCCTAAATAAGACAATGTAAGGGCTAAGCCAAGTGGTTTTTGAGACGGTCTCACTAGGTAGTTCAGGCTGGCCTCGAACTCGCAACGATCCTCCCTCCCGCCTCAGCCTCCCGAGTGCTGGGATTACAGGCATGCACCACCATGCCTGGCTGAGATAAGTGTTTTAAAATGAAGGATCACACAGCACCTGCCTGGCAAGTGCAAGGTCCTGAGTTTGATTCCCGGTACCAAAAAAAAAAAGAAAAAAAAAGAAAGAAAAGATGAAGGAACATACAGATTTATAAGCCATTACCAATATTCAGAAACTTAAATATTTTTTAACCATAATCTAGATGGAGGAAAGTTCAAAGTGGGTATCGGAGGCACTGCATAGACACTAGGGGGCAGTCAAGAGAAGGTAACAGTTGAAATATTGTAAATCTACTAGTACTTAGGAACTAATTAGGGTAACTAAATTATATATAGAGTATGTATAAGAACTTCCTGTTCGGATTTGCGTGTGTGTGTGTGTGTGTGTGTGTGTGTGTGTGTGGCGGGGCGTACTGGAGACTAAACCTAGGGCCTCTACACTGGGTCACACCCCCAGGTCTAATTATTTTTTGAGACAAAGTTTCACTACGTAGCCCAGGGTAGCCTCAAACCTGTGATTCTCCTGCCTCAGCCTTCTGAGTTCTGGGATACAGGCGTGCACCACCATGCCTGTTGTTTTTTTCTTTTGGAGGCAGAGCCTTTCTAAAGTGCTCAGCCTGAGACTGAATTTGTGATCCTCCTGCCTCAGTCTCCCATCTGCCCCAGCCTGTACTGCTGGGATTACAGGTATGCACCACCCTAACCCAACTCAGATTTTATCTTGAGAACAGGGTTCACACTTACCTTCTCTCCTAGTTCTTTGTATTTGGGCTCCAGATTCTTACAGTGACCACACCAAGGAGCATAAAACTCAATCAGCACATCTTTATTTTCATTATTCACTATTTCATCAAAATTCTCTGCTACTACTACCTGGAAAAACACAGACAATTTCTAGTTTTAAGGGGAGCTGAGGAATAAATTCATAACTTGTATTTGCTTCTGAGAGCAAAGCCTTTCACATCTGATGTTATCACTGAAGGTAAGCCATGGAAACCTAATGTACATGTACAGACCGTGTTAAAGATGCGAGCACTCCCCTCCCCATGAACCAAATCATCCATGTATCTCCCACCTGTTATAGATGTCCAGTCACAGGAAATACAATGCTACCTCACTGTTCCTTAAAATAATTTCAGAGCAACACAGTGCTGCTTAGGATTTTGTCTTGCTCTACCCCGAAGGGTAATCTACTCCAATTTTACCGTCACAAATCCTATGGCCCCCAGCCACAGGATCTTGCCATAGTTCAGGCTGGCCTTGAAGTCACTATGTAGCCCGGCTGGCCTCGAACTCATGGCAATCTACCTGCCTCAGCCTCCCAAGTGCTGGGATTACAGGTATGTACCGCCACGACCGGCAATTCTATGGTTTTATACTTTTCTCCCTACCAAATATTGTAATAAGCTCTGCCAGTGTTTATGACTCAAGGAGGTGAGGACCAAAAACCAAACCAAACCAAAAAACCCCATAAGGACAGTCAACACCAACAAGGTCTTTGTTTACACCCAACATTTTTGAAATAGAGATAAGGAGTCCACTGCTGATAGGCACAGGGAGGCTGCAGGCAGCGCACCTTTACAGGCCCATCATTGCTCTCAGGGATTGGCTCAGACTTCAGGTATCTCTTCAGGTTGCCATCGAAGTAATCCTGCAGGAACCTTTCCAGAGCCTTGCCATCACGCCTGCATGGGAAAGACGGAGCTGGGTTTGGTAACTCACTCCCGACACCGGGGAGTAAAGCAATTCTCTTGAACAGTTTTTACATATTTTACCTTCAGTTTCATGGCTGGGAGAAAAAAAAAGACAGGTCTCTTTCTCTTAATATGCAGAACTACTGACTGAACATGAAACAATGCACCCCCTCCACTTGTAATGTGTTCCTTGTGTGTTAGAAAGTTTAAAAGAACCACTAGCCTTCTGCAGACTCGTTTTTCTAAGAGAACCAGGTCCTGCTGCTCTGGAGAACAGTGTATTTACAGTGTCTTACTTCACTGATTGGCTTATGAGGTAGAATTTTCTCCTGTCTTAATCTTGTAAAGTCTTGATGCTGAAGGTAAAACTATGTATGGGTCTTATCATCTTTCAGTTTCCTGTGTTTACATTAGGCCCACGTGGTACTCTCAAAGAAAAGACATTCTATACACATGGGAGGGGGTTGGTTTAAAAGTTTATCGATCTCAAAGAAGCTGTCCAATTTTTTCCATTTTTTTGTGCGGCTATTTGAGACAGGGTTTCCCTATGCAGTCAAGGCTGGCCTGGAACCCATGATTCCCCTGCCTCAGCCTCCCAGGTGCTGGGATTACGAGTGCGCATTTACTTCTACCTACTACAGCACTTCTAAGACAGTAAAAACAGCTAAGAATTCTAAGCTGCATCCTTCTGTTAGTTTTCAGAAATCATTAAGGGTGACAGCCCTTCCATTCCTGTAATTAAACAGGAAATGACAAGCTGACTAGAAGACCTATCTCCATATCCCAAAGCTGTCTAAGTTCTCAGTAGTGTAAAAGGCCTTTATTTCTCTGGAGACTCCAGTCCTGAACCCATGCTAACGAGTAACTCACGAGAACTCCTCTTGCATGACAAATTTCTCTCCTTTAGCAGTTCTGATAGCAACAACAGGAATCTCTCCAGCAGTGCTCTCCAAGCCAAAATCAGACAGTTCGTGGCTGAAGGTTTTGCGGCTAGCCACCGCAAAGTTGAGTTTGTGTCCACCATCCAGGAATTTCTTCGCCACCATCATCACTCTGTGGGGAACAAGGTATTTGTGCCAAGACCCCATCAGGGTGGTAAAGCACTTTTTTTAAAATCAAGAAGTTAGAAAGTAAAGACCTAAGTTGTATGGTCCACACAGCCCTCTGAAGTCACAGGCACAGAACACTGTATACTTCGCTCTTACTGAACTGCACTGCCAAATCGGTGGTATCTAATGAAATAGTCCCCTCCACTGAATCGTGCTGTCTTATATAGCTATAAAACTTCTCGCAAGTATAATGACCGACTTGAAGTAAAATTTACAAGGGTAAAATGTATCAGAGTCTCAATGGACAGGTGTGCACAATATTTTCAGTGACTTTACATTGAATTTTACAGTGTGCCACAAAGCAAACAAAACAAAAAACTCCCAGGAAACCACTTATGAAGGACACACCCAGTCAATTTTGGAAGCAGTTCATGTTATTTATCCTTATAGCGTCAAATGAGGTGTTGGGAGCTGATGTCTTCACACTTATCTGCCCTTACATCACGTATAGTAACAAGATGATGAAAAGAAACCGCTACTACATTGGGTAAACTTGTTTACAAAACATAAAACATGATTATTACCTGTTTCTCCAGTAGTTAGAACCTTTAGTATTCTTTTCATAGTCCACATCGTAGTAAGCTATAAGCAGGTCCTTGCCCTGTATCAAATCTTTATTGTCTTCTGTCATATGAGGACAGATACCAAAGCTGAAATAAAATAATCCATAATGAACTTTGGCAACTTATACCTCTATTATAGCATTTATAAAGGAAACACATTTTCAACATTTAGGACAAACACTGAACAGTAAGATTCCTTTGCAGGACCTTTACAGTAGGAATTCTAAGTCCCACATTAGTGCCTTCATATACACTTAAAACTATTATTGTTATTATCTGTCAAACAGACTATTTAAATCAAAACATAGAGGTAAGAAGTTATACCAAGGTGTAACTCACATGTTTTCCTGGATGAACTTTTTAATTTTGCCGCTCGTCATTTTCTGTTCTGTATATACCACTGTTTTGTCCTCAAACTTGTTGGCAAGGTGTAAAGGACGAAATAAGGTGATACCCCTTTAAAACAAGAAAGTGTCAGTAAACAGCAGAGGAACTATCTCCCCTCTTTCATTTAAAGCTCAGATTATCTACTTTTGCTATCACTAAGCACAAAGGGATTCTTCTGGGATCAGAATTGGCAACATGACCCTCTCAGCCACACTAGGGTGAGAAGCCACCTCTTCTCAGGTGTAATAACCAGATACAGGGTTTATAAACCTGTGTCAGAAACTTGAGACCTTTATTTTAATCTTAGGCCACCGCACCGTCCAATTTCAGTGAACCTGGGTCAGGCATCAATTTAATCCCCTGGGCTTCAGCCTTCCCATTAACTCAGAAGGGAAGTAAAGTAAATGACTAATTTGCAAATTTTGACAAAGAGCAGCGAACAGCTGCGGATATAGCTCAGTGGCATAAGCGTCTGGCTGGCAAGTGCAAGGTTCTGAGTTCGATTCCTCGTGCAAAAAAAAAAAAAGCAGCGAACAGAATGTAGCTGAACACAAACATACATAAGGCAGACCCTGCTCCCGCTGCAGAGTCCCTTGCCTTTGCCTTTGAAAACTCACCTCAGCCCTTTTTGTTTGTTTGGTTTTGGTTTTGCTTTAGGTTTTTGAGACAGTTCGGGCTATGTAGTTCAGGCTGGCCTTGAACTCACTATGTAACCCAGGCTGGCCTCCAATTCCTGGCGATCTTTCTGCCTCAGCCTCCTGAGTGCTGAGATTACAGGTGTGCACCACCACACCTGGCCTCACTCCCTTTCTTAAGAGACAACACCTTGACTCTTTCCACCTAAGTTTTAAGTAGGCACACAATGATATACAATATTTAGCTGAAGTTAATTTAAAATTCCTTAGTTCTAGATTACTCCATCCCAATGAATCAAATTTAAGAAATTTTCTTCCTTGGTACTACTTTGCCTCTCATATGATCCAAGCTTTCCTCCATCCACTGAGACACAGGAGAAATAGAAGTCTCTTAATTCCCAGCCTTTTGTCCTACTAAAACTGTACGTAAGGTTTGGTTCAGAGCCACAGGCTTATATTCAAGAAGACACAACTACCCGTACTGCCCACACCTTGCCTCCAGCTTCTTCAGTCATTCCTCCTCCCCAGGCCGCACTCCCACATGCAAAGCTCTCTCCGCTTTTGGCTTCATTTTAGCACTGCTAAGCCCCTTTTCATTCTTCCAACATTAATCAATATCTAACTTTATGTCTCATAAAATAGGCATTTTCATAGAACAGAGAGAAACTACACAGCAAACAGGAATCTAATATAAACAGGCACAGGGGTAGGCTTAGTGACCACGCTAGCCAGACTTTCTGGGCTCAAGTTTTCTGAATCTTCCTGTGAGAATCTAGGCAAATTACTCCTCTGTGTGCTTTTCTTTTAAAGCCTAGCCAAGTGCTCAATAAAACAACAGACATAAAAACTATCAGGTCACGCTGGAAATGGTGATGCACACTGGTTATTACAGCACTTGGGAGTGTGGACTGCTATGAGTTCGAGGCCAGTGTGGGCTATTCTGCAAGATCCTGTCTTGAACAAACATCCCCCAAAATTGCCAAACCCCAAAAACCACCAGGTCACAGATTTGTAAGAGTCTGCTTCCAGGGTCGTTAAAAGGACTGATTGGGTGTGGTGGCACGTGCCTGTAATCCCAGCACTCAGGAGGCTGAGGCAGGAGGATTGCTGCAAGGTTAAGGCCAGCCTGGGAGATCAAAGCCAGCCTGAACATAGCAAGATCCTGTCTCAAAAAACAAAACAAAATTGGCTCTGAGCTGTCTAGGAACTTAGATTAAAAATACAGGATCAAAGCCAAAGAGGACTGATTAACAGCAGTAAAGGGCACAGAGCAGACATCACACACGGTTAAATATGGACCCGTTAGCACAAGTCCTCAGCACACTTTAGTTGACATGTATGAGAGATGGCATCTCATCTTGTGGGTCAGAAACCACTTAACATGTGAAGCATCTCTAGTCAAAAACTGTTCGAAGGGCTGACTTACAGCGCTTCGTCACTGCATAGAAAGCCCTGGGTTTAACACAAGTGTGGGAAACACACGTGTGCACACACACCCCCTTTCCCAAATGCCACTGTCCAGCTATCCTCAGGTTCTTCACCACCTGGATGAATCACCAACTTCTTTTTTTACCAACTTCTTAATCTCATTATGATCACTTACCATGCCCCCCAGATTTGTTTCCCAACTGGACAATGACTACCACTGCTCCAATTACCCAGTTTTATAAGCATCTTAGATTTATTCTGGATCTTCCCTTTTCCACACAAGTTCCTCAACCCTGTTCACTTTTTTTTCATGCCCTACTCTTCCTCTTGCCATTAATACTGTCTTAGATTCTCCTATCTGCCTTGCCCTACTCCTCTTAAACCACTATTATGTAAGTACCAGTAATTTTTCTAATGAAACAAAATTAAACATGTTAGTCCACAGCTCAAAATCTTTCATTGGCTTTCAAATGGCTATTATTTGGTCTCCACTTACCTCTCTGACCTTTACTATGACCTTCTTCACAAACACTACAGGTCCCAACATGCCAAGGCTGTCTTACATCCTTGCTGCACAACCTGGAATAATTTTTGCCTGAGCCACCACACATCCTCTATTTTCCTTCCTCATCCCCCCTAAAAAAACAATATTCCTCATATACCTTGTATATATTTCTATTACAACACACATAAAACTCATTGATTTTTACAGTGTTTTCACCTACAAGTGCTCCACACAAGACAGTAGTAGAGCCAAGTGTGGTAGTGAATGCCTGTAATCCTAGCACTTCAGAGGCTGAGGCAGGAGGATTACAGCAGAGTTTGAAGCCAGGCTGGACTACATAGTGAGACCCTGTCTGAGAAAACAAAACAAAACAACACAGTAATAGTTTCTGGCACTAGCTTAATACCTAGCAAATGGTCAAACTTTTGTAAATCATGGGCACAAACCTCACCCAGTCACAAAGTGACAAGAGACGGACAAGGATATGGAACCCAGTCACTTACTCTCCATTGTCATCGTACTCCTTCACCAGAGACTCGACATTGGTGTGTGCGAACCGGTAGTTATCGCGCAAGTTGCTGGCTGCTTTTAGGAACTCCGAGTGAGCTTCACTGAACAAATCCCTGAAAAAGCCTATTTGGAAAATGTCCAACACAAAGAAGCAGCTGTAAATCTTAACAGATATTCAAGAACTTTAAATTCTGATTTTTATAGCTATTATTCTTCTCTCGATAACAAATAAGGACCTGGTCTGCTCTGACACAGTTACGTGCCATCTAAGGAAACTTAAAAAAAAAACAACAAAATAGAGCAAGGCTGGGCCCTGCTGTGAGATGCAAACAGGGACCTCATTAGAGCTGAGCAGATGTTGGCCTTACTATGTTCTTGAACCTCCAAAATTGTGAGCTAAAAAAACATTTCCTTACCAATTTCCCAGCCACAGAAAGCTGTCTAATACAACCCCAGAAAGCAAAGGTGGCTGCAAAAAAAAAAAATTTTTTTTGAGACATGGTCTCACTATGTAGTTCAGGCTGGCCTTGAACCGGCAGCGATCCTCCTGCCTCAGCCTCTTCAAGTGCTGGGATTACAGGCCTGTGCCACTACACTTGGCTCAACCCTAGTAATGGAAAAGAAAGACAGGGAGGAAGAAAGGGCCTGGACTGGCATGGTGGTAACGCCCCTGTAACCCCTACTACTAAGAAGGCTGAGGCAGGAGCACTGAGAGTTCGAGGGTAGTCTGAAGGGGGAAAAAGCTGAAGATATTCCTATCCTAGTCCTTTAACTTAAATTAAACCTTTACATTTCTAAGAACACATTCCACTGAAAATATCATCTTCCCCATATAATACTGCCCAGTTCTACCTACTGTCTTTTAAACTGACCCAAGATTCCTAAGATGCTTTTCACTTTGTGCTGTCCTCATATATGGATGATTTTGAAAACCCATTGATGCTTTTATGGCCTAAATATTTACTTACCTACCACAGAGGCATCTTTATCATTAATGAACTTCTTAAATTCTTCCTCATTTCTGAGAGGAACTGAAGCTGGTCCTGCTTGCTTCTTCAGGTGGCTGACAATTCCATCTTATGAAAGTTACAATAAGACAATTTAGTCAGTGTTTGGGAAGGAAATTTTCATGATTCAAAATTCAAAAGGTACAATAGGACACACAATGAAGTTTTCTTCCAACCTTTGTTCCTAGATGCCCATTGTCTTCCCTGTAAGGTTTCAGGTTTTTTTTTTCCCCTTTGATTTTTTTGACACAAGGTCTTGCTGTGTAATTCAGGCTGGCCTTGAACTCACAGCGGTCCTTCCTGCCCCAGCTGCCCCACTGCTGGGTTTACAGGTGTGCACCACCACACCTGGCACAGGTTCACTTTCTTCAGCATAATCTTTTCCTTATGTATATATATTGGGAACTGAACTCAGGACCTTGCGCTTGCCAGGCAGGTGCTTGTGCACTGAGCTGACTCCCTGGCCCTCAGTTTCAGTCTCCTGCATGTCCTTTGACACATACACTGATAGGCAGATTATATACTTATTCTTTCTCTCTAATGGCAATATGTACATGTGTTCTTTGTTTCTGTTGTTTAACATAGCTTACAGATAAATTACATCAATAAGTAAAGAGCTGCCTCAACCTTTTATTGTAGCTACATATTGTTTCATTGTATGGATATACCATGCTTTAGCCCACAACTAATGTGTGCTTATGATCCCTTGTTACAAACAACTCTGTGATAAAAGACCTTGTATTAATTTATTTTGCACATGATAGTACAGCTATAGATTAAGTTCCTAGAAGTGGATTCACTGGGTCAAAAGGCACATACACGTACAATATTAAAAAGATTTATATATTATTTTTATCTCTCTACTATCAAGTAAATTTCAAATTAGTAGTGATTTTTTGTTGTGCCTATGATATAAAAAGTTTAGAAAACATACATTTTGCAAGTAAACTAAATAAGGTCTTTATTCTTAAACACTGCAGTGATCTGTAGCCTTACATTTTTAAAGCTCAAAATGCAGTGCCTTGGATAGCTCCTATAACTCAGACTACAGATCAAATCACTCCTGACTGCTGGGAGTGGTGCAGACCTGTAGTCCCAAGCACTTGGGAGGCTGAGGCAGGAGGATTGCTTTGAGTTTGAGGCCAGCCTGAACCGCATAGTAAGACCCTATCTCAGAAAGGGGGGATCACATTTTCCTATTCAGATGTAATGGGCTATTTAAGTAAAAAAGTTTTAAAAATAGGACATCACATATTGAATATACGTACATCGTAGGAACACGTACAATGATGTGTCAATTTTAAAATGTACTTATTTTAAAAAATAAAGAAAAACACAAGCTGGGGGGGGGTAGCTACATGGGAAAGCACTTTCCTACTATGCTTGAGGCTCTGGGTTCAGTCCCCAGACCAGCACTGTAAGATTCTGACTCACTCTCTCCCTCTCCCCACCACCTAGCTGGGAGACCATTAACTACTCCACTTACTCTTCCAGCCCACTGAAACCACTCACACACTCAAAAGACTCACAGGCCAGAGGCAGTGCTATTCCTCCGATATTCTTTTTGTCCTTTTTGCTGTACTGAGGAACAAACTGAGAGCCTTGTACACTGTAAGACTGTACAATGTTCTGCACTAAATTGATTTTCCCTCTCTCAATTTATGCATTTTCAGGGGGAAAAACAAGTTTACTTCGGCTCCTTGTAAAGGTTTTGTACCAACTGATTAGCTGAAATCAGACATGAACTGTACAATCTTCTACATCACAAGTTATAAAGAATGCCAGAGTCTAAAGTTCTCTAGGTTTACAGGAGTGCTGAGTAACCAGTTTAAACATGAAAGCAAAAAGCATAGTTCCTAGAGGTGCACATGAACAAAATTCCTTCTGATCAAAGACTATAAACATTTGACCCATTGGTCAGAGGTTGAGAATTTCTCTAGTTTAAGATATTTAAGTTACTCAGAAGCTGAGACAGGAAGGTCACAAATTTGATGCCATCCTTAATGACTTGGCGAGACTCTGAAAGAATTACTGAGTATTTATTATGTGTGAAAACTCAAGGCACTGGGGTAGAGCTGTAAACAAGTCAAAGGAGGTTTCTGTTCTCACGGAGCTTACAATATAGAACATTTCCAAATAAATTAACGATCTAAAAAAAGCAGGGCCAGGGAGATAGCTCAGGGGCATAGCGCCTGCCTGGCAAGCACAAGGTCCTGAGTACAATTCCCGGTACAAAAAAAAAAAACAAAAACAAAAAACAAAACAGTAACAAGTGTTACGCAGAAAATTAAAAGAATGGGATAAGAAAAATGACTGGGTGGCTACCTTACATCTAGTGACCTGGGAAAATGTCTCTGAAAGAAACAGAAGCCATGATCTGAACAGCAAAAAGAAGCAAGCCATGCAAACATAAGGGAAGATCACTTCTGGCCAAGGGAAGGGCCAAAGGAACAGTCCGAGATGGCGTCAAAGTGAGGGAGGAGCCGTATTTGGAGTGCTTTATGTAGGAGTAAAATGCTGTACCTCCTAAAATAGCCAAACCTAACCTCTCTCCTCTTAGCCTGCCATTATGAAAAGATAAAATATGCCTGATTTTGCAGGGTAAGACTGTCTTTAATCATGTAAGAATACTTCTTGTTATCACCTATGACTCCTGTAAGATCTAGCACCCACTCAACTCTCTTACTTCTCACCCTTGCTCATCCTATTCTGGCATATGGTCTCTCTGACTCTCTAACACACTGGTCTCATTTACACATGACAGCCTTTTGCACCCGTTTTCCCTCTAAAAGGCTCTAGCCAAGATCTTCTCATAGCTGGGTCCTTATTAGTTTTCAGCTCAAAGGTTTCTTTCCTGACCACCCTCATTAAGTGGTTTTCCCACACAAATCAGTATATCACCCAGTTTATTTTTTTAATACTCTCATCACTGATGTATTTTATCTTTTTTTGTTTTGGTCTTTTTGAGACAGGGGTTTGCTATGTAGTCAGGCTGGCCCTGAACTCACTTCATAGCCCAGGCTGGCCTCAAACTCCCAGCGATCCTCCTGCCTCTGCTGAGATTACAGGTGTGTACCACCACATCCAGCCTTATCTACAAGTGTTTTTTGACTTAAATTGTGACAAAAATATATAATATAAAGCCAGGCCTGGTGATGCATGCCTGTAATCCCAGCACTCTTAAGAGGCTGAGACAAGAGAATCAAGGCCAAGTTCAAGGCCAACCTGGGCAATTTAGTGCTTTAGTAAGACCTTGTCTCAAAACAAAAACTCTACTAAAAGCCAAGTTCAAGCCCAGTAGAAAAACAATATATACACACGTTTATCATAAAATTCACCATCTCGGTTATTTACAAGTACATTTATAATGTTGCACAACCAATTTCAGACCTGTTTTCACCCTGCAAAACTGAAATTCTACACGACTGGGTGTAGTGGCAAATACCTATAATCCTAGCAGTTGGAAGGCTGAGGCAGGACTGCTCCAACTTCAAGGCCAAACTAGGGTATACAGTGAGTCCAAGGCCACCCTGAACTACATAGCGAGACCCTGTCTCAAAAACCCCCAAACCAAACTAAAACAAAAATACCCACAAACAAAAACTGAAATTCTATTATCAAACTCCCCTTCCGCTCCTCCAGTCCCTGATGACTCACGCTTCTGCTTTCTATGCCTTTATATTTTTTCTTTTTTCGATTTTTTTTCTGGTACTGGGAATCGAACTCATGACCTTGCACTTGCCAGGCAGGTGCTGTACTACTGAGCTAAATCCCCAGCTCCTTTCTATGCCTTTGAAAATCACTATTCTTGGTACTTCGTGTAAGTGGAATCATATGTATTCGCTTTTTGTGACTGACCTTTCCATTTAGCTCAATGTCTTCTATGTTCACCTATTTCATAGTGTGTCAGAATTCCTTCCTCTTTAAACCTGAGTAACATTCCACTGTACATGTATATCAGTTTATTAATACACCATGAATAATGGTGCTATGAATGTGAACACGCTCTAAGACCTTGCTTTCAATTCTTTTGGGTATGTACCCAGAAGTAGACTTGCTGGGTTCTATGGTAATTATACAAATTTAATGACTTAGAGTTCCATTCCTGCCATGAGATTACTGAATGAATTGGTTGCCAAATGAGGAATCATGTATGGTATGTACATTACAATATTTAGAAAAAAGAAATGGACAAAAGGAACTCCAACTTGATGGCTTTGCTTTTATTTGCATAACTTGTACATGCAGTACTGTAATGCATAACAAAATAATAAAACTACCCCAAAAAAGGGAGGACAGGCCAGGTGTGGTGGTACATGCCTGTAATCCCAGCACTTGGGAGTTGCTGAGGTAGGAGGATTACCAGCCTGGACTACATAGTGAGATCCTGTCTCAAAAACAAAAAAACCCTATAGCACTATATGGTATAAAAAAATACTTTGAGGCTTTATATAAACAAGATGGACAGGACTGTACAAAAAGAAAAACGATGGGTGGTCCCAGAGGCAGGTCTAAAGTGGAACAGTTGTTGAATAGGTCGTTATATGAGGATTACCTATATCTTTAATTTTAAGGGATCCACCACTATTTTCAATAAATAAGTTACCACTTTACATTCCCATCAATGATGTACAAAGTTTCCAATTTCACTACATCCTTGCCAACACTTGTGGGTTTTTATTTTTAATTTTGTTGTGATGTGGACTGAACTCAGAGCCTCAAGCCTGCTAAATTGATGCTCTAACCCCGAACTATAACCTGAATCTTTTTCATTTATTTTTTCTTGAATCTTTAAAAAAAATAATAGCAGTCACCTTACTGGGTGTGAGATGGCTATCCATAAATCCTCCCCACCCCGCCTCAGGGTTATTTGTATGAAAAGCACAGGAAGACACCTATCCCTTGCAGTCCAGGAGTCACACCAGACCTGCTGTCCTCCCATTGGCAGGCAAAGGCCTTTGCCGTGGAGCTTTCACGGGACTCTGGGCACCTTAGGGAGCCTGAGCGGCACCCAAGTTGGAACTGCAACCTGAGGCTGGGCCTTTGGCTGGCAGGGCCTACAAGCCCTGGCAATGTGGGTACGAATACACTTCCCTAGCCTGGGTGGGCAATGCAGACAAGTCAACTGAGCTAGTGGTCAACATCTTTAGGTTCAACTCTCTGGACTTTATGAGGACCCTGATGGCCTGAGCATGTGCACTCACGGCCTTGGTATTGTTTGCCAGCATCTTCTTCAGCCCTTTCCAGAGCTTCTGGGCAAAACATATTCCTCAGGAACCTGGGATCTACCCTTTTAAGAGAATCTTATCTTTGAAATGGGGGTTTTTTGACAGCGTCTCTGTGCCGTTCTTGGGGTGATTGTACATGGTGTGGTTGTTGGTGTTGGCCACGTCTGCACTGCTACCTGCGGCCCAGCCATGTATACATTTGTAACTTATTTGTTGCCCTTCTCCCCCTCAGAATATAAGCACCATAAAGGACTTTGCTAACCCAGTCCATAAAGGACTGGGCTCAAACCCAGGTCTTCACACATGCTAGACAACTGCTCTGCTACTGAGCTATACTCCCAGTCCCAACTGTGGCTCACTTTAGCAACTATTAC